CGTGCGTGCGTGCGTGCGTGCGTGGAGCACCCACAGACAATGCTAAGGCACTCCTTGCTAGATTGCGAGTCATCCTGCCGAAAGTTGCAGTTTGACGCTGTCATTTTCACAGCTTTTCTCGAAATGTTGATCGTGACAGTCTTTGGCCGGGCACAACACTCTACCAGTACAACATGCCAATCAACGAAGGCTGCAGACAGACTGCACTTGACGTCGAAACTGCGATGTGTTGTCTTGAGACCTTGTCTCCCTGACAGGAAGCCATCAGCCGTACGGCAACACCTACCGTGACGCCGACACTGAGAATCATTGCCTGCTTGCGGTGTTGCCTGCCTCAGATGATGCACAGCTGAAGGTCATTCAGTGGTTCACTGGCTACGACGAGAAGCAGATTAGCAAGCACATGGGGTGCAACCGCTGACTGCAGCGACGCACGGGTTGAAAAAGATGCAGAATGCCACCGAGGCTCCATGCAATGGTGCGGGCATGTCGCACTTTGGAGTTGGCACCGTGCACAGACAAGTCAATGCAAAGAGTACAGACCCAGGAAGCCACTTGTAAACTATTTCGCAGACTTTCTGGCATGTCATGTGTTTGTGGTTGCTGTTCGTGTTGCACTCACACGCGGACCGTCACGCGGAGCGTTGACGACCGTGCTGCAGCATGCTGTAGCAATAGTGTAGCTACTAGATCCTATTGCGTGCTTCCTTTTCGTAATGCAGCTTGTTTGGCACAAGCCAACCGTTTGGTAAGCATGTTTGTCTTTGCAGCAGACCCGCACGATCTGGGCGCGGTGGGTAGCTGCAAAACCAACTATAGCGATGTCGTGAGTTGACAGTTGACAGCATTCCACGCCTGAGTTCCGGAGCCCCGAGCACAGGTTGCCCCACAGTAAGCTGGGTTATCTCATTCCGCGTGTTCAGGGCTAATACCTTAAGGATTATAATGATTAATGCACACAATCATCGATTCACGCCCCTTCGTGCCGTGATGTGGACATGATGCTCTGCCGTGAATGAGGCAGTTTTGTCCGACTTTTTGCGGGTGAAACCTCCAGGCCAAAGGCATTCTGAGGCTGTGCAGCGGTACCAATCAATACCAGAAGCTTGAGAAATCCGCAGCAGAGTTCATCCTACTTCATTCACAACTCCTTCTTGCAACTCACCACACCGTAGGACCGTAGGATAACTCCCAACAGAACATAGACCCGACGGGCCCTACCCTGCTTGTTTGCCTCTTGTCCACAGGTTCGGGTGGTGGTTGTTGCTGGTGCACCGCCATGCCAGCCATGCCCAGCCAGAGACGATGGTCACTGAGGCAAGTCTTGAGCCAGCTGCGGCGGCAAGCGTGGTGGAGCAGTCGGAAATCACTGAAGTCGGTGCTTGCTGAAGATGTGAAAACTAGCAAGCGGTTAACAACAGCTGAATGAAGGACATGCCTGTTAATTTGCCACAGTCCGGGAAAAGGTAGGCCTTATCAAAGTACCTGCACACCCGGCGCAAGGAAAGCAGCTCAAGCATGCCCATGGATAAGACTTGCGTAGACTTGCACATTTGGCAATCAGGAGCTCCCCTAGCCTAGCAACCGCTGCACAGGTGACATGGGAAGGGCCGCGGGACGTTGTCTTTAGCATGGAGGATGTGAGGCCAATGGGACTCGATGACATTGCGTCAGTCCTACCCGCTGCAGGACAGTTGTGGACAGCCTCACTTGAAGCATGCTTACTCCCTCGATGTTTAGGACCGTTCCGATGGACGGAAGACGCTGATGCTCCAGATCACTTTGTCGTCGAGATGATGCAGATGCTCCAGCTCTCACCTTGGCTTGTGAGTCAGAAGACTAGGTTTCCTTGGCAGAATTTTGGTGTGGGGGTTTCGAGTGGCTTCGTGACATGTTCGGACGAGGCCTGCCTTCAGAGAGAAGTTGGTGCCGCTGTTGGAATCACGATTTCTGGGCTCCAGCCATCCCTGTGAGAAGGATTCCGTGCTGTGCACCCGAAAGGGCAAAAAGAGGCTGGTTTGCTGTTGGCCCCCATGCAGGACGTGGCAACACATTGTCCTCGCCACAAGACGCACCTTCCTTTGCATTGCTTAGGCACTGCTCTCGGTCTCTCGATCTCTCGATCTGTTTGCGGGTAGATCAGAGCGTCGGCTGTAAGGCCTCCATGAGCAGCACGTGTCCTCGGCTTGTGTGAAGGAAGTGCAGCACGCTGTGCCTCAACCTCAGTGACACCCGGTAGCAGCATTTGCTTGGTCAGGGGCATGGTTTGGGGCACGGGCAAGACTCTGTGCTCGGACGCGGACATGACACGACCTTCGTCAGGATTACAAGGTTATGTGAGGTTGCAGAGTGTTCCCTGTCAGAGCAGTATGACATCGAGTTGTGCTGCTACACGGAGTTTTCAGACTTCAAGGTGATACATGCAATTAGGTCGTCTCGCAGCGCTCGGTTGAGTTGGCGAACATATGAAACGACGCCGTGCCATCTACATCCGCGCTTCTAACATTTCAACATGCTCGGGGTGGGGCTCAAAACTGGGACTACAAGCCAATTCTAGTGTCACTCGGTGTGGCGTCTCGAAGATTCTCCAAGGCCGTTCGTTTGCAGCAGAGAGATTCACCAGTTCTGCAGTCACCATCACTCGCGAGGCACAAGTCCGCAAACTTCCCAAACTGGTGAAATGCAAGCAGCACAGGTCGGGCAGGCTTGCTCAGCTGTTTGGAGGAGCATGGAGTTCACCTCACTGGCAGATGCGTCGAAGCCCCAGCTGTCAGCGCCGTTGTTGAGCAGGTCAGGCCTGAATTTGCTTGCAGGCTGATGCCGTGGTGGGCTCCCGAGAGCTCGAGCAGAACCAACCGCATCGTGCTACAGTCGCTAGGTGGCAGCTCGTCATGCCCTGGCAAGCTTAGAGTGGTCGCACAAACGAGTGTGAAACTCAGCGCTCGGTGCACGGTCCGGTGCAAGCATTGTTCCACATCAGCTTTTCCAGAAGCTTCGGCGCTCTTGTCTTCCTCTCGTGCTTGTCTCAAGGCCTGCAGGCCTACACTCAGAAATCTGCAACTCGAGTGTCTACAGTGAGTCTACATTGCAGGAGTCCGTAGAACTCATGTACTCTGCTGAGGGGCAACAGCGCAGGTCTCGAACAGTCAAACAACCACACTTACCTCTCACTCTAAGTCGCATCTTCAGCCACGGACTTTGCCGTTTTGTTTTATGGCGTTTTGTGGCAGATCGGGAGATCCCTTCCGAGCTGCTCGCTGCAGTTTGGCGTCGGATGCGCTTTCAGCACAACGATCACCGGGCTGTCTCCGGCAAGAGTCCCGACATCTCAGCTCACCTTCTTGGTCATCGGTTGGAGGTACAACCTTGCTCGGAGTGCTTGGTTTCCGTCCGACGAGGCACTCCAGAATTGCCAGGCGGTTTGGCAAAAGGAGGGACTGGCTGGGAAGCTCTCTTCGCGCCGCGGGCATCGCTGCTCTGGTGATGATTTCCATCAGCTTGGCCGATGTAAGCTCTGCCACCGAGGGAAGCTCCTTTGAAGAGACGGTCGCGACGAATCCCGTCTCACTGACATCAGCTAGCCAGACGCCGACCCCGGCCCCGACAGGGCCGAAGAGTCTCTTCGGACCGTTCTTGGATAGGTGGGCCACGGTCACAGTCGATAGCGACACCGAGAACGAGTATTGGGAGCTCGGTCCCTTCCGCTTCCTCCGGAAGGAGACATCGGTGCTGGAGGTCGTCATCAGTGGATTCCTTGCTGGGTTCCTTGTGGAACTGAGCAACGCGCTTCTGCTCCACCCTCTGGATACTCTGAAAACGCGACTTCAGACAGGCCAGAGCCTTCTCCCTCCAGACCCTTCTCTTCTGTACGAGCGACTGTACGATGGCTTTATTCCAGTCCTTGCGACTGTTCCAGCGCTCTCAGTTTTTTGGGCAGTGAAGGATGTCGTCCGAAGGAGCCTGATAGGGATGGTCAAAGCGACATTGCCCTTGCCGGCTGCTGACATCTTGTCTTCAACTTTGGCATCTGCATGTGGCGAAGCTGCATACGTGGCGGTGAAGACGCCTGGGCAGGTGTTAAAGATCGAACAGCAGACAGCAGTCTTCGATGAGGACCGACTGCGTCAGCGCTACTCCGAGCAAGACTTGTCCTACACCAGCAAGACCTTTCTCTGGGACTTCGGGCGCCTCTGGGAGGAGTGCCGTGCTGTGTGTGTAATCGTGTGAGTGCCGTGACCGTGGTGTGAGTGCCGTCCGTGGGTCTAACTTTGCGAGTCCCTGCAGGAGAGTTTAAGGAGCTTTCCCATCCTTTGCGCCGTGGACGTCCCGCAGGTAGCCCTTCGGACGGCTCTCTTCGTGAGTCTCCACGACTCTGGGTCCTTCCCCTCCGGTGCTGGATCCGAGGCTTACTTGCAGCAGGCTGTTTGGGAGAGAGATGTGAGCAACATGCAGAGGCGGGTCAGCACGCGCCGGACATTGTTGCTGTAGCCGAGGACATTCTCGCCTTCACCATGGCTTCTGCAATCGCCTCTGTTGTGTTCCTTGCCTTCAGTTTGGGTTGATGGCAAGGGCGAGTGCAGGCAGTGATGCTTTCAAGGAATCATGCTACATTTACGTACTTTCGCAAGGAAGTTTGTGCTCAGCTGAGTGTTTGCTCTTTGTGTTGGTCAGCTTCCGATCTTCAAAATTGTGTGTGCTCGCGGGCGGGCGCGCGTGCAAGTCAGTAGTGCAACACATTTATATTATGGGTGTTATCACCACATGGCATACTTTAAATCATGTCCAGCCCAGCCTGACATCGCAGCACCACCCCATTCATCCCAACACTCACTCACAGTAACCAATTCGTTTTCCTTCAAAACTTGCAATTGTTTGAGCAGTGTGGGTCATGCCCTGCGAGCTACCTGAAGTTATTTTTTTGAGAATCTTGTTGTGTTCCCCTCTGTTATCATGCGCATTCCGTTCTGTTCTGGGGTTTTGTGTGCACCGCCGCGCTCACTGCCGCGCCCGGTTGTATTTGGACTTATTATCGAAAGATGTAATAGCACGTGCGTGTTTCACACCCGCATACCGAACGAGTCAGCAACTGGTTGGAGTTGTAGAGGCATGGAGCAATATAGAAGTAATATAGAGCACACCAGTAGCAAAAGTGTGAAAGTTTGACCCAGCCAAGATTACCAGCATGTTGAGAACATGTCACGAGTGAAACCTGGGCCCAACACCTTACTAAGAGGATCTAAGAGGCTCCAGAGCGTGCTGATATGATTTAGTGCCGAACCAAGAAATTCAGCAAAGCCCTAATGCGGGCAAAGGCACGTAGCGACGTAGCTGGTCTCCAAGCTTCCCGTCGAGCATGTGTGTGCGAGAGAGACATCTGTTTGTGATCCGTGCCTGCCTGTTTGTTGGCAGGGCAGGGGGAAGGGAGGAAGGGAGAGGGGACGGCTGCGGATGTCTCAAATCAGCTTTCAAAATCCAAAAGGTGCACGCCGCTGGATGTTGCTCGTACTCAACTGGTCCTGAGCGGAAAAGGCAGGGGTGTTCGCAGTCGGCGGTATCCAGCGCAAGAACTGATGCAGTCGCATTCGGAATAGTGCAAGGCATCCAGCGCCTGCCAGCCACTCTCTGGGACATCCACGAAAGCCAGGGTGTTGCCGGACTGCTTGCGGGCTGGCTTCCGCGACTCCTTTGGAACGGCCTCATTGCCGCCACCCAAGTCTCCAAGTCAGTCCTGTTTGAAGCATCCTTGCCGAAGCACCGGTTGCCAAGGTGGGAGCTGTTCTGGGACTTTGTAGGCACGGTATGGGGTGCACATGTTTGCGCAATCCGTGCACTTCAGTTTCTAGTTGCCCCGCCAGGCTGCAGTACGAGGATGCCCGTGCCATCTTCTTAGTAGACGTTCTCGATCGCTTCGAGACCGTCGTGCAGCCAACGACTGCACCCTCGTAAACAGACCACGGGATGCTGAGCTTCGGATGCTGAGTGGATCTCAGTGGTAGAAAACCCACTGATGTCCATTTCAGCGCGCCGGCGTGCCCACGTCATCCCACGTGGTAGATTTTCCTTTCCATTCCAGAAGTTCCGAAGGCACATAGCATAGTTTATTTTTTGGTCAATTCGACGACACTCTGTCTCTTGCAAGCTTGCAAGGAGCATGCTGAGCATGTTGGCCGGCCAAGGGTGAAGACACGCTGTGAGTGCAAGGCCTTTCCATGCAAGCGCGGTGCGTACAGAAAGAGCCGCGAGGTGAACTTGTGCATAACTCTTGTAAACAGCCTGCTTTGTGGAATCTCTCGCACCTGTCGGGTCCACGACCCTGCACTCAGAGTGCAATCATTTGCGAAGATTCTGCAGCGTGTATTTTGCTCGGAAACGGTGCGTGCCAGCGACTTGATTTCAAGGCTCAAGACTGGACACGGCTACTCGACAGAAATATGCCAATGCGCGTGGAGGCGGCGGCTGCGGCTGGTGATCATCACAAGGCCGACTAGAAATGCCGGACCATGTACCAGTACTGCACATGCGGACCCTTAGCAATTCAACAACTGCGGACAGATTACCGAGATCTTCTCAGTGGGGCCAATGCAAGGGATTTAGTTAGCTCGCATGGGCTGCGAAGAAGTTTGGTGAACTCCTGACCTCAAGGTCACCGAGGTCCCAGAGCCTGCTGCGGCTTGCGCCTGTGCCATCCTCTCCCAAAAAATAAGGCAGCAAGCAGTATTTTGGAGAGAAATCGCGGGTTCACGCCTGAACTTACAACTGATGCCGCTGACTTGCAGTCCTCAATCAAGACACTAATTAAATTAGTTTAATCCTGGACAACAAGGTTTTCGGCAACGGCTGAAACGTTCCCTCAAAAGTGTACCGTTTCTCTTTGGCAGTACAGAGTCCCTTGTCCGGCTGCTTGATCTGTGTGCAGCAGCAAGGAACAGAGCCGGAGCTGTCAACGCAGTTGAGCTCCTGGGTGTGCGTGTGTATCGCAAGCCTCGCAAGGTGCTCGATCACGCAGCCCATCCAGCCGGCCATTCGCATCCCCACCGTGCTCACAATCACGCGGTTGGTTAGCGTTGCCTTCCCGGTTGGGATGGCCCCAAGGCCCAAGATTCTTGGAATCTCCCGATGGCGCCTATCCGTGTCAGTTCCTGAGAGGCTGCTGGCTGTTGCATACGACGCTGGTCACCACACTGTGGTCTCTCCTGCAGCAGCTCGGGTCAGCATCCGGCCGGGGCTTCGTGTGGCTGGTACAATTCAGCTTATAATAAATTTGAACTATCAATTCCCGTTCCTGTACAACTTCCGAAACGGCTGCAAGGTTTCAGGCACGAACTATGCCTGACTGGGGGCATGTGAAACACGAGATAACGCGAGACTCGATCAACCTGGCTCTCAGAAGGCCGTGTTATGAACAGCAGAGCCTTGCGACTCCTGTGGCTCGCGGTGTTTCTAGCGTAGAAATGGGCACAAGCAGGGTCCACCAGCGACAGCAAACTTTTGTGGGTTGGCTCGAGCCACTTGAAAGCCAAGCTGCCGAAGAAAGGGCCCGAGATGGCAGCGAGGGACGTGAATCGACATACAACATGTAAGTTGAGACTGGGAGTTGGCAACGCACCCTGCCGAGGAGTCACCCTCGCTTTCTCTACCGTTCGCATCTACCGTGTAAGGTCCGCACCATTCTGTCATATTCTGTCGTTCTGCCACCCCTGTAGAAATTATTTCGCGTCTGTCGTGCAGACGGGCTTTCACGATCACCAAACTCGGTCGTAAGGTGCCTTTTTTCGAAGTTGTGTAAGCTTCGATTGCGCATCCGAGGCGTTTCGGATTGCAACGCCGATCCTGGATGGGAGTTCAGGTGCTTGCAGGATGGTGAGAATTTTGCAAGACTGGGCTGGGGCTGTTGCGAGTGGAATTTGCACATCGTGTGGGCTTGTGCTGACAGGCTACAGTAGTGGGACTGGACAGGTACATAACGTGTGCATATATACCTATGCATATACAAACACGATTTTCATTCATAAGGCTGAGAGTCCGATGCGAACACGCCTATAGCACGCATGAAGTCGTGAATTCACATGCAAACGGCTTCGTGCCACCACAAGGCTGATGTTCCTTTGAGGCCATCCAGCCAAAGCAGAATGCAAGAACAGCTGAGAGCTCAGCACCTGCGCCCTGAACTAACAAAACCTACAACCGCCGAGCAGAAATCTACAAGCCAGTAGTGTGCACTCAGACTTGCAAAATCTGAGCCTTTCAATCCCAAAACAAGGGGACTTAATCAGACCCCGGCGCTGGAGGGACCCGTAACTCAAGACTATTTGCTCAAGCATATTCCTCATGGAGCTCAGGTGAAGCGAACTACGAGCAAGACTCCGCACAGCAGAGATTCAAACATCACTGCGCCACAACACCACCCTGAGCCTACTCCTCTGGGGCCCGAGGGACCGGAAAAGGCAAACTGCAGGGTTAATCCCACACAGTTACAACACTGTGCCAGTTTCGAACCACTTTTCTGCATCTCCGTCCATGTCCGGCAATGCGCGAACGGAATCATGATCTCCGCATGTTCGAACCTATCTCGCCTCGAACAGTCTTCTTCACGCAATGCAGCTCCGTGGCAAGGCACTCCGCAAAGTATCGGTCAAAGTAGCAGCTGCAGCCTCGGAAGCTATTCGCGGGGTCCTCCTCAGCAGGCTCATGTGGCTTTCCGTCAATGAGGCTCTCGCACTGGAAATCGGACAAGCGCGCCATGATGCGCTAGGGGTAGACGGAGGCAGCCAAGGTTGAAACGCCCTCCGCAATCTTGCTGATGTGGAACTCCTTCAACCTGCCATCTTCTTCTAGCTTCCAAGGGCGGAGCTTCGTAGATAGACAGCTTGCGAGGGGCGAGATTCACTGGATCCTTCCAGCTTCAACCTGGAGTCTCCTCGCATGCTTCCACAGTGTCCTTCAAGCCTCCAGCCGGGGTGACGATGAACCGTGTTCCCATCTGCACAGGTCCACGGGGCTCCCGCCTGGTAGTATGATGTAGTCGCTTCCGGTCAGCAGAGCGATTTACTCCGCTGCTTTCCAGCTTGCGTAGAAAAGATGCAGTTTCGGTCTGAGCCACGAAACCAGCGCTCCCAACGCCAACCACCGCCATTTGCAGTTCGGTGTCCCCCGGCACTTCCATGGCAAAAGTCGCTGCCCATGTTGGCAACCAACCTCCCGATGAAGCACATCAACATGCATCGTTTGCGATCAAGATGCTTTAACCCTCTCATGGTTGCACCTCTCTTTGCAGCTGCTTTGAACGGTCCGCAAGTGACTTAACAACAGCGTTCCGGATTCGTGCGCGGTGGCCCCATCTTGAAGATATCCAACTCCAGACACTTTCAGGATCCGCCGTCTCATGACCTCCTGGATGCGTAAGTTTCATCTGTGGCCCATGGCGTGCCCATGTATTGAGGGGCTCTGGGGTCTCTAGCTTTGGCCCCTGCTGTTGGGGAGTTTGATCCCGGACGCATATACACACACACACATGCACATACGCATTTGGGTTGCATGTATTTAACTCATGCAGGCATCAGTCCATCCACCCACCCATCCATCCACGCGTGCATACATACATTCATACACACCTGCTACAATCTGTTTGCCCCTGTTCACACGTCCAGACCCCGACTGTGCTGCACAGGTGGGCCGACTTCAGGACTCATCCCTACATTTGCTGCCCGAAGGCATGGCTCTTGCAAACGCTTGTTTCACTGGTCCGTTGATCCAATCCACTAACGTGTGCCAGCAGGTCACGCGCCGTTCAGAGTACCTGGGAGGGCAGAAGATCTGCCCCGAAGGCAAGCGTTCTAGCCAGCGCTTCAATATCAGCTTGAATTTCGGCTCAGTACCAGGCTGGAAGGTGGAAGAGCACGGCTTCTACCCCAGCTGCCAATATCGAGGGAATTTCAAAAAGCATTGTCCAAAGGCCATGGTCTATTGTACACCTAAGCCCAGATGCATGCTCTGGAGAGTGACGCGATCAAATTTCCAGGAGAGAGAACTCAGCAAGTGGGGGCATTCCGGGCCGCTACGGTCGATTATCGACCACAGTCTGTGGAGCGGGCCTCATACTTCTCACACCTACTCGTAGCAACTGAGAGCTTCGCAATCTGCTCATTTCCGCAACTCTGGCTGGGAAGATGTGGGAGCGTGGCCATTCTTGACGCGATAAGACAAGCAAAGCCAGAAGTTCGCGAACACATTGTGAAATCACCTGAGAGCTTGGTGTCGTGCTACTGAAGGCTTCTGCTGTTGACATGCTCAGACCATTTTGACAGTCTTCCGCAGAGAGACAGCCAAACCACTCCCATGAAAAACGAAAGAATCCAGTCTGCAGACACGCACGCCGATTCACACGGTCTTACACACTGGAGACTGGCCGCAACTGCCAGCCAGTTCGCAGCGTTTTGAGGATGTTTAAGGGCCCGGGTCGGGGTCAAAAATATCGGAGGCCCTGAAGACCCTTCCGGTGTCTGGTGTTCGTGCTTGACCCTGTAACGGGAAAAGCCGAAGATCGTAGAACGCTTTCATGATTTTACGATGGACGGTGTGCCTGCCACTTCTCAGATGTACTGTGCAGAGGTCATGGCCACTGCTGCCGAAAGCCCTGGACATGGGTCCATACCGAAGTCGCATGTAGCCATGCAGCACGCTGGCAGCACGTTGCGTCATTTGGCTGTTGGCGTAAGGATTGTGGCGAACACTGTGCACACGAGCAGTGCAAAGACAGTACATGTCTCAGGTTAACCGTTGCCTGCGGTAATAACAGTCATCGAATCGAGTTGTCTAGAGCTGTCGCCAATCTTTGCGCTTTTGTCTGAGACATTGCTCTGGCCTGGCATCCTGTTGATGACAAGACGGAGGAGTACAAGTCCGGCCCTCATGAAGATGTGCTTTCAGCGACCGTATTTATAAACCTGGTCGCATCCGAGTGCAAGCTGCTAGACGTGCTTAGGTGTTGTCCAGAGATGCCGACAGGGATCAAAGTTGATGGAAGCTTTGAGAAGGTCGAAGAGGTCGCCCGGAGCTCAGCTCAACATGACCGAGCATCTTTCGGCTTTGGCCCCATCTTCTTTGTTGCAAACCCCAAAGCCTTATGTAAGCCCAGCTGACCCTAAAAATGTGCATCCAGACAAGTGGTGCCAGACAGTAGAGTAGAAGTTCTCTCGCCCCAGATGCGAGCCTCACATTCCACTCTTTTGCGTTGTTTCTAAGCCCATGTCAGGGGACTCGCGACCGCCTAGCCTAGTCACATTGAGCAGCAACTCGTGGAGCAATGGACTGAGGTAAGGCGAGGTGATGCCGCACTGTCTGAAATCGACGCTATGGGCTCTTCTTGGGTTGCCAGGTGCCGGATGTAGTTGCAAAGAGCCGTGCGCTTGCCAAGCATGTCAGAATCGCCATCCTCGTAAGTATGCAAACTGTCGTTCCTGCGCGAGGCCCCTGGACTTGTCCACAGTGACACGGATACAGGTCGCAGCCGTTGGCGGAGGCATCTAATCTTTCACTCGCCATCAGTAACCCCTGCTGAACCACTTGCCAGTCCTTGCCACGGTCTTGCTGGTCCTGCACCGGCACCGAGCATCCTTCCACTTCGGGCCGTGAGGAGAAGGGCTGACAGTGCGCACTCGTGCTGCTGCGCGAGGTGTATCTGCAGCAGCCAGAGGGCATTGCCGAAGCGTTCGCATGAGCACAAGGTGACCAGCTTGAGAAACCTTGACCAACATGTTTCGAAGCGTGGGACAGACCTGGCGAGGACCATTGATGAAGAGTCGCCGCACAGGATGCCGTAGCCACGAAGAGCACTTGCTGGAGCTCCCATCTCCGCCTCTCTCTCTGTCTGTCTCTGCCTCGCTATGGCTCTAACATGCTTGAACAGATGGCTCAGATAAAGTGCATATGAAGAAACTTGACTTCTGTCCTTTCCGCAAAGCTTTTATGGCACAAGCCTAGACTTAGACAGTGCTCCGCGGACTCCGCGGGGGAGCCACTCCGAGCTTGGCCGAGTGCCCAGATTGGTTAAAGAGAGAGTGAAGGGAGCCCGCTGACTCAAAGATTCATTGTGGAGGCTCGGAGAGGTTGACATCCCATGTATTCCACACAGAACTACGAGCAGCCGTCACGCCGTCTGTTGTTTTGGATAAGACGGTGCGCATGAGTGCGTTGTGACGAGGGATGAGTGTGCATCTGGCTGCCAGGCAGACTCAGCCTGCTGGCCCGCCGTATGCATACCAGGGCTACCAGGGCAACCACCAGGGGCATTATCAGGGCCCGTACCAAGGTCCTCCAGCCGGGGCCCAAGCAGCGAAGAGAGCTTCCGCATCGTGGGAGAAGCAAAGGGAACTGCCACAGGCCGGACACCCTCCTCAGGGCCCTTATGGTGGCTATGGACAAGTAGGCCCAAGTATGCTCCTCACATCAGTTTTTTTTTTTGAGTTTCGGCTCTGCAGGCAACATGCCACATGCCGGAGGCCAGCCCGGGGCCCAGCAGGCGCAGCCACAGAAAGGCGCCCTGGGCTTTGCCATGAACCCGGACTGGTGCGCCCCTGCCTGCTTTCGGAATCCAAGCTCGCATTCCGGCGTTGCTCAGAATTGTGGCAACACTGCAAGACTCTTGACAATTTCCATTTCCGGGGAGTGACTTGTTTTTGGGGACACATGTGGATCCACGCAATGGCCCAGTAGTTCATTCACTGGTTTGCGCCCTGCGATCTTACAGGTGTACCGTCCACAAATCAGCTCTTGTCGATGCCTGTCCTTATCAGCCCTTGGCTTGCAATGTCTTGATCCTGCTCGTTTCTCTGGAGAGCATGCCATGCTGCCAGGAGCCAGTATTTTTTTGCAGCGTCCTGCTCAATCATGCTCGGAGCCCGGTGCCGCTGCCGACCTCTGCCTGACTTTCGTCACAAGCGCAGCCCAGGCTTGGATCCTTTATCGGCGGCCTTTGCCTCTTCTTTTCCTTCGAGACCTCGCCTGAGAGTCTGGCGGCGTTCAGCGGTCTTCAAGCACACGGCCTCGCGCCTCGTCTCTTTCTGCTTCAGGCTGGTGGACTTCCTGGAGACCTGCTATCTCATGCTTTTCGGGGGCCGGCCTGGCAAGTCAGGGGCTTGCGACGGTGTGCGTCCTTCCGTGGGGGAAATGCCAGGTGTCCTTGCCTTGATGGACACCCCTTGCTTCAAAACCATGAAGACAGCGACCCCAGCCTGGGTTTAGAGCTTGCCGAGCTGCTAATTCGTCGGTTGCTCGTGCAAGTTGGCCAGGTGAAGGATCACCGTGAGTACTTCTCAAAGTACATCGGCATCCTCACACGGGTGACAGGCGTCGTGTTTGCAGCTTGAGCACCACATTGCGGAGGAGTCCCTGCTCATGCGAGGTAAAGGCATCGCCTTCTTGTTCCTGGGCTGCTCGCTCTTCTCTACTCTCTGGGATAATCTCGTGCTCCGCCTGCATCAGGAGAAAGCAGCTTGACGACTTACAAGTCCCTGAACGGAGGAGAGCACCTTCATGAAGTTTCTGGCGTTCGTCCTGTGTGTGTTGCCCATGCTCGTTGGTGTCTGGCACCCAGTAGTTGACGGCATGTTGGGTAACACTGTGTTGCAACCGATCAACGGAGTCATGTCGAGTTAGACTTCGAATGTAAGGTTGCGGCCTTGGTCATCGGCTTCATCAAGAGCCAAAAGCTCAATAAAGCTCGCGAAGCTCTTGCCAGCCAGGCTCTGGAGACAAGCTACATCTGAAGTATACCGCTTCTCCAAGATCTTTTCGCTGTGCAGATAAGTGACAGCATCGGCACCTTGTATGACCAGTACGCTAGAACATATCCTGGTTTGCACGTCGCCAGCCCAGTGGGAGGGGCGGGATGTGGAGCAAATAGCTTTGTACAGTCAAGAGTGAAGCAGAGTGAAGTCCCGGAAGCCGAGAGGGCGGTCTGACGATGGTGGAGTTTGGCGACCTGACGGACAAACTTGCAGGCTTCAAGTGGGAAGGCCCGAGCTCACAAAAGATTTGTGGCGGAAGTCAGGGGAGGGCGAGAATACCGCCAGAAAGTAGCTGCTTGCCTGCCGGCAGATACGGACCTCAAGCTGATCTTCAACGCTCTTGTCAGCAATCCTGCTTGGCGGGCGAATGCTACAGGTGCTCTCCGCTCGTCACGAATGGCTCGGCCCATTGCTTCGCACACTGGCTCAGGTTTTGGTTCGCACGGTGGGCAGACGATTGATTTAGCCAGGATCCCCCGAGAGGACGCAAATTGGTGCATGACGGTGCACGGTTTGCTGCTAGCGAAGTATGCCGGTTTGATCCTGTTGGCATAGACCCGGCGAGAACGCTGATTGTGTAACTTCTGCGGAGGACTTGCTTGGCTGGGTGAGGGGCGGAATTGCGATGTCCCCAGCCAGACAAACCTGTGCGAAGTCAGCTGTCGCGCAGCGATTGAATTCCGAGGTATGGCTGTGACGCAGGCAGCCCTGTCCTCTCTTCTCTCCTGTCCGTATGGCAGAGAATATGTGTGCTCGATCTTCATAAAGACTGCCCCTGCTACAATACCAGACAAAGCCAGGTAATCACTTTGTGTTTGACGGAGTGGCAGGAGCTGCATGCGAAAATTCAATCTGAAAATGCAGGCGAATCGTCCATTGTGTGCCTCCCGGCTAATTCGAGCAGGCTTGCTCAAACCTACATAAGCACAAACAATGATTCCAAATGTGGTTGTTCTGCAGGGTCGATATAGGTGTCATGTCCTAAGAGAGCAAACCGTCTGCGGGGCGGTGATCGCGTCAGCATGTGTTTGACCCAAAGAGGATGCAGTAACCTGCTCGCTCTGCCGCTATGCGACGGAAGGATACGGAAGGTGCAAGGCAATGCCGTAAGTGATGAGCTAGTGTAGCGGCTAGTGGCGAACTGTGGCAGTGCCAGATGCATTGGCCACAGGCAGAGCGAGCTGCTCGAAACGTGAGAATGTTCACGGAAGCTACTTTCGACGGGACAACGCTGCCCCCTCCAAAAGCAAGTCTCTGCGAGTGCAACTTCCGCAGTCAATCCTTCTTGCAGCTACGGAGAAGTTATTCTTAGGTGCACAGGAGCGACAGCTAGCGGAGCTTGCGGTGAGGATTTGGCCGCAGGCTGCACGTCGCTGCATCGTGTTGGCCCGGCCGAAGCTATTTGTAACCACCACCATCTGGCAACCACCGCGGTGCTAAACTGGGGCATTGACCTTGTGCTTTCCAAGCTGAAGACATGATCTCAGACCACAAATCGGGACATTTCAAGCTCTCACTTGTTCACAGCAAGTCAGAGTTCACACAAGGTCAGTGAGCAAGCAGCAATTAGGTTTTTGCTATGGCTTAGTGCCTGTCCTGGCATGACACTGCCATGAAGCTGTCTCCTAAGACTTGGGTTCGGTGTGTCAGAGCGCCTGAAGCTGGGGAGACGGCTGAGGTCTGCTGGACTGGCGCGATGGGAATTATCCTTGCCAAGAGGGAAGAGGTGGTCGTTTTTTGCAGGCAATTGCTCAGAGATTCAACCACAATGTTGTCGCAGGAGCGAATCTCTTTCAATCAGACCCGCGCGCGTCGGGGCCAGAGAAGCTCAATCATTCATTCAACTAGGGTAACTAGGGCGCCGGTACTAGTAAGAGAAGCTTGGCGGCTTTTGGCTGGCATGCAAGAAAGAGACGGGCGCTCCGGCTCACAATCTCAGGTGCATCAGCCTATCTTGAGAAGTGTCGGCCTGACTACATCGAGGCAGGATCTGACTCGACAGACACATCCTTTTGTGCACTGCTTTGTGCCGCTCAGCGCAGGATGATGTGCTGCTGGGGTTAGCTCCTGACGACAAGGACCGTGCCCACAGCTGGCTGAACGCCGCGAGCAGCAGACCTGCCACAAAGCCACAAGTTACCCTTTACGGCCCTTGCAGCCCTTGCCCTGGCCTTGGCACATGCAGGACGAAAACCAGAAGGATGAAGACGAGGAATTGGAGAACCAGGCTGACAACGCTCTGGGTCGGTGTCTGCACAGCCTGCGCTGCCAGTGCAGGAACCCGAGGTTGAAGAGGAGGAGGAGGAGGACGAGGACAAAGAAGAGGAGGCGCCGGAAGCCGGGATGAGATGAGATCTTCTTCTATTGCGTTTGGATCCTGAAAGGATGAGCGGAAGTTGATGGCAGAGGCAAGCTCCAGGCCGTCAGTGCTTGCAAGCTTGCACTGCTCTCTTCTGCCACTGTCTTTCCACGCCACAGTTAGCAAGCGAAGTACAGTTGCAAAGCTTTTGCCTGAACGGCTCTGGACCATCGGCCTCCCTGCTGCTACCTTGCATATGCACTTCTGCTACGCTGCATTTTCGACAAGCTCTGAAGTTACTGATTTTTCCCTGGTGCTGTTGTCTGCTGCATCTAGTAACTCTAGTACCCAATGTGCTCGGTCAAATAGCAGCTGGTGAGTAGTGGAATGCGGGAGATGTCTTCTCTACCCACCCGTGTTGCTGTTGCTTGCTCCATCGATCCAGCAATATTGCCGTGAACTGCGACATGTACTCCCGCTTTCGCACAGGATCTCACTCGTGAGCCCTGTTCTTCACTGCAGAAGCCGGCTCCACCAGGGGTTGAAAAGCTGTATTCCATCATTGATGAAGTTGCATCTTGTCGGCGCAGCCGCAAACTAAAAGCAACGCAAGCAGTTGTCAGTTGTCTTTATCGGTCAACATAATTCGAGCAGCCTGCAAGCTTGGTTGAAGCACGTTGAAGCTACAGGGTCTTGTGCGGAAGTCAAAGGGAGAGTCGCTGGGGCCTTTGTGTCGGATCCGCATGCCTGTCTTCGGCTTGAGAAGCACATAGTCAAGCGCAGGGCAAAGGAACGAGTACAAGCTGAGCTGAAGAAGTTCCGACAGGCAGCTATCAAAGGCCAGTGACATGTGGCACAGAGCCTGCCTTGTTCTACCTTGACGAAATCCGTCCAACGATTCTTTAGTCAGGCAACCGATGGGCACTGATGAAGATGACTCGTTCGCCGCGTTCGCCTCAGTGTTTCGAGCCGTTGTTTGTGTTTTTCTGTGTGTGTGTGTGTGCGTGTGTGTGTGTGTGTTTTGCGGGTGTGTTGCGTATTTCCCTGCAGAGGCACTTGGCCATCGATTCGCCTGACCAGCACGGCCGAAGACCCGCGCAGTCTGGAGAGTTGCTCCGCGTGACATCTCTGAAAGTCTGAAACCCAAAGGTCGGACAGCCTTGCATTTAGCAGCAGAGCATGGCCAGCATCGAGCTGCCCTCTCCCAAGCTATTCTCGTGCATACATAATAAGAAAGCCATTTCGTCTGCAACTGGCAGGTGGAGATATTGCTGGGGGCACGAGCCCGTCATGTGCAACGCTTAACAGACTTAGCAGCTGTATCGGACTGGTTATGCTGGTTCAAATCAACATAGGATGTCTTTGCACTCATGCCAAGTTCAAGTGAGTGTCAAGCCGCACCTCGGGTGCTGCTACTCCGAGTTTTCTCGGGTCGTGTTGTAGCTACGGTCTCGTTTTCCTCTCTTTTGCTGTATGTCTTGGTGACAGCGGGCCACTTTGCTGGCTCACTTTCCGACAGCTCAGCTTCACCAGCCGAGGACATCAAGACAAAGATGGGTTGGACTCCGCTGCACACGTCCGCTTTCCATGGCCAGGTCGTGCGATGTAGAAACGCTTGCATATGCAGAACCGCTTGTCTGCGTGCTCAACCTGCTTTCAGATTGCCTGCATCAACCTCTTGCTGCAGTCCACGGCCGATGTCAACTGCAAGGCCATCTCTCAGCCTCACAGTTATAAGCCATCTTAGAGATATCAAATCCTGGAGGAGAAGCACGGCTGCACCCCGCTCATGTTCGCGGCGTCTTCGCCCAAGTGCGTGCCTCAGGCAGCTTGTGGACAAGCCTCGCAGTCGGAGGAGAGGTCTTAAACGCTGCGCATCTACACTGAGAGCTGGAATGAAATCGTGGACACAGCACCATTTCATGTCGTGGCATGCGGAGGAAATGCTCGCTTTCAGATGGGTTGCTTTTGGTACCGTGAGTACCGCGCTAGCAAAAAAAGCAGTCTGAAGGGTTAATCCTTGACTTGAAAGCATGTGGGAAGATGCCGAGGTTATATTTGGTGGACCTTGTGTCCAAACAGGATCGTGCGCGACGACTCAAAGCACGCCGGGAGTCTCAAACCGCAGTAGCGTTCTCACCTGGTATGCACTAAGTTAAAGAGAGCGATGAGGCACGGATGCTGAGAAGAAAAGGCGGGAGCAAGAGGAGGCCAGCCGGTCAGCTGGACGAGCATGCGAGTCGTCAGTTTTCTGTGCGACTTGTATCACTGTAGAGGACCGCTTGGACTCAGACTTGGCAAGCCTGGGGCCGCAGGGTGCAGTGGCGTTCGTGTGTGTTGCTCTCTGTCTCTGCCTTTCTTTCAGGTTTAACCAGAGAAAAGGGGGCAGGGAGCATTTCCACAACGGCACCCAATGTCGCGGCGAACTCAAGAGATATATCTGGAGTCAAGATATGATTCTGGTTGGAGTTGACTTCGCAGGTGTGGAAATTCTACCAGAATCGCATCGAGCTTCTGGTCTTGAACGCATTGTTGTCGTCGCCGAAAGTCAAGGCCGGAACGCTTCCGTTCTGGTTTGCGAAGTTGGGCTGGTACGTATTGGGATTCCAAGGTAGATGCCTATGACAACAAGCGACGGACCGCTTTGCTTTATGCTGCCCGTTTCGGGCGAACGTTCGCGGTCAGCCGCCTTTTGGATGCCAAAGCGAGCCTGGGATTCGCCGACAGAGTCAGGACCCTAGAAGAGCGGAAGGGTTGTGTCTCTCGGTGGGCACGACGAGCCCAAGGAAGGCCAAGTGCCTCTCTTTGCCGCGGCGTGCAACGAGCACTTGGATACCGTAGACCTGCTGCTCCGTGCCGGATCGAACATCAATGCCACGGACCAGCCCCTGCCTTTGTCTGATGAGCTTGGGCTTTCGGTATTTCTGTTAAAGGTGTCAGTCTCCTGACGCTCCTGAGGTATTTTCGCACCCCTCTGCATGGCGCACTGGAAGAGGGAGACGAAAGCATGGCGAACCTACTGCTGAAAGCCGGTGCAAGCGACAGCCTCAGGAGAAGACCGGGGCTCCGGCCAGGGCCAAGATGGGTCGGCGTTCGGTCCTTTGTAGTAGCCGAGGTGTCAACGCCTATGACTGCGAGGGTCGAACTCCAATCATGTTGGCCATGGACAGAGGGAACAGACGCCTCTTCTCCAAGATTGCCTGTCCCTTAAGCATTCAAAACTTTGCCGTGTTGACATGTGCTCAGTGTATCATGTGAGGTCGAGAAGAAATCGAACTTGGATGTGCTTGACAAGAGAGGATGGAATGTGGTGATTTACGCCATCGAGACGCAGATGTTGACAGACGCCCGGAACTCGGGCACAGGTCTGACAGTCTGCCCTTGCTTGACCCAGAGCATGTTGGTGTTTTCGTTGCACTGCATGGCTCCAGCTCATGTCCGAACCGAAGCCGAGAACTTTCGGATTCGGCCGTAGAATGGGCTTCCAGCCGACTGCCTCCTCGATGAGGGAGGCAGGTGACGCCACGCAAGAGTTCAAGACGAGGAGACTACGAGACTGGTCTGTGCAAGTGCTGCATGCTCCCGAGAGCGAGCCCGGCAGCGTTTGCTAAGAGCAAAGGCCGCAGACCCCCGTCTACGCATTGCATAAACAACCACAGAGAAAACCCTGATTTAGAGGGCTCTGCACCGCTGGAAGCAGAGTAAGAAGCTGCTGAGAGTGAGGACACGTTGGAAAGAGGGCCGTCGCCGCTGTTCCGTGCCTCAGAAACGGAGGTCGCAGAAGCCGGAGAACTTGCGAGGTTAAGACGGTTAAGGCGGGGACAGGTCAAGCAGGAGGGGCCTGCAGAGCCGTCACCAATCCCTGCAAATGGTGAAGTACGAACACCCTGCAGCAGGTGTCAGTGAGATAGACCTCTCAAAGGGCATGCTCGGCACATGCGTGAGATGCTGAGTGAGCAGAGAGCGAAACCGGAAGCAAGACGAACACAACGACGCCCTGCTTCAGCAGCAGCAAATAGCAGCAACAACAGAACGACCGCATGTTTGCACTTTGAAAGCAGCTGGTCCAGCGGCTGGCCCCGCCTCAAGCAATGCCCGTTCAAGCAGAGGCAAGACCGCCTGTGGCAGTGCCTGCGAGAAGCAGCGCGGGCTACACTGCGAGTGTGAGGGAAGGACGAAGGAGCTTAGCGCTATAATGCCACGTGGTACAGCATGGAAGCTGAACTGGTGATGACGGTGCTGCTGTGCATGTTGCACAGAACTCCCGACAAATTGGAACATATTGGAATTGCATGGAGGCTCCCATATCCCACAGTGCTTACAGAAGCAACTGCATGCGAAGCGTTCCACCTCAGACCTCCGGAACATGATTCCTCGAGGGACCGTCATCAACTTCAAGCGTCTGTTGGCTGTGGGCTGATTTTGCCAAGGAGTTGCTCTCACCTGCTCCTTCGCTGTGAGGACAGCGGGATCGAGGTTATGGTCTGCAAGCCGATCTTGGAGCCTCGAGGAATCATGCTTCGGAGCATGAAGCGGACAGCATCGCATGCTCTTGCTTTTGGAAGCGCTGCGGGACAAGGAATGCACTTGTCGAGCCAAAAGCTCACCATTCAGTACAACGTTATCAACAACACCGTCATGGCCGACAGCCCACTCTGCACTCCCACTGTCTGTTCACTGCTCATTGCTAACTCCCACTGCTTGCTCACCCCGCCCACTGCTCACTCTCCTCATGGTCCTCATTCTTCTCAGGTGCAGGAGGACCACGTCTGTGATTGGCACGGTGGCAAAGTCAGCGACATCCTGCACGAATCTTCGAACGTCTCAAATACAGGAGGACGACCCTCATGGGCACGGTCAACGACAAGCTGCACAGCTTGCCGTTGGTCTGACTTCATACGATTGTATGATAAAGGAAAATACTGATGTCATCGCATTTTCGTGTTGTGCATGCTAGACCCAGAGCAGCCTCGATTGCGGCAGCCCATCATGAAAATTCAGGCACACCACCTAAGCCGGTATGTGTAGGACAGTGTAGGACACATCGCCAGAACCTGTGAAGCTGACAACCTTCTCTTTGCCAGCGATATATATCCTCTTGGAATCACATCAATGTGCAATGCAGTGTTGTCATCTTCAGCCCTGCACAGCATCACACGTTTGCTGTACTTCAGTGTTCCCTCATGGAAGCGACCGACCACTGCACTGATAGAGCAAAAAAGCAAGGCTATGTCGTTCAGTGACAGAGGTTGGTGTTCGAGTATTGGGTTTATTGCGGGTTGTTGAACTGTGCTTTCTGGGCAAGGTGTATCCTTTACTCATGAAGCTGAACAAGAATGCCGCAATCATCCTTCGAGCCAGAGATCCGCAGGCCGCTCAAGAACAAGTCTTCGATATTGTTAAAGGGCTCCAAGGGTGGGATGAAGGTAGGTGAGGTAATCCCAAAACCAAAGAGTCCTTGTGAAAGGGTTCCTTGATATTGCCTGCCTTCATCCCAGCTTTTGAGGCCTCCAACATTGCCTCATCGCTTCTTGCATGTGGAACTGCGAGTGCAGGGGCTCAACGCTGTGCATCACGCAGCCCAGCTACCCAGTGCCGAGCTGTCCACGAAGTGCGTCCAGCAGTTGGCCAACCTGGATTTTGAGGCCGTTGAAGTAGATTTGAAGCATGCCTTGCGTCTCCGATATTCTGGCCTGCTTTCCAAGCGCTCACTCCATGCCACTCCAAGCCCATCTGAAGCAACACATGCATTCCACCCTTTCGCAATTCTGCTGTCAGCCAGCATGGCTACGGCAAGGATCCTAGGTCGGTCGCGAGTGCGTCTGATGTGCATGCGAGCCTCGTTGTTGAAAGAACAGCATGACCAGGCTGCTAGCTTCGGCGACTGCAATGGAGACACAGCAATTCATTCAGCAGCCGAGCGCGGGCGGCTCGAGGCGGCTCAAGATTTAGGAATATGGAGCTGTACAGCTACATTACATGCGGCCAGAGTCGCCGCTAGTAGAGGCTTTCGAGCCGACAAGAGTTTCAGCTCACTTGGACTGCAGCGCAGGTCCTGCGCATTTTCATTGACCGCCTTCCATCCCTAGACTTCCTCAACAATCGGGGAGAGACACCTCTCCACTACGCTGCGCCTGAGCCTTGGACTATTTTCTTCCGGTAGCCAAGAGCGAATCCAGAATGCTTTGAAGGCGTGGCGGCCACATGGCGTGTGTGGTGGCTTTGGTCCACGGGGCCGCCGGCCGCCAGGGTCCGTGCGATGCGGGAGCCATTGACTCTCAAGGCCCGCTTGGTTTACTCCGGCAACCGTGATGCGCAGGTTGTCGGGACAGGGCACGCGGTTTTTGGCTATGTGGAAAAGCTTTGTCAGCCCTCAATACGATGGCCCCGTGTCATGCTGACAGAAGGCTATACATATGAGAAGGATGCAAGAAGCACTGGAATTGGCGTGTCTTGCGGAAGAGTTGTTTGACACGAAAGATCTGACTAAGAACCACAGTCTGCCTTGCGCTGCGCCAAGCCGCCATGCTCACCACCCCCCAACCATCGGTTCTTCCCTGTACTGTAGGTTGCGCACTGTAACTCGGCCAGAATGGATGATCCTACTGAGGGTCAACCCCTCGGCCGCTTCATGAGCATCCGTCATACTAGCCCAGACCATACCAACAAAAGTTGAAGCCTGATGTGCAGACGATGAATGCAGGGCGTCAGGCGACACTCTTGCGCTGACCGCGACGCAAATCGCTCCCCACTGTTTCCCGGATTCGTGAAGTGTGGCTTGAAAACATGTCCTGAGTTCTGCCTGACTTCCCAAGTCAGATCGCCAGCGTCCCGGCGGTACGAAAGGGAGAATAGTCACAAAGTTGACATGGGGTCCGAAATGTCAGACCCCGCATGATCACCCGCATGATGCCATGACTCCTACAGCAGGATGGAACTTGCTAATGCACGCCTGTGTTTCTGGGCACCTGGACTTGGTGAACTTGCTCCTGCAAAACAGGGAGGTCAGGGCCTTAGCTCTGCTCGAGCCGCGAGTCGCATTGCCGCCGCCCCCTCCGCAGGGCCAACACCCAGACCTGGCCTTCCCGCCGCTGGACGTCAACCACGAAGATCGTGCAGGGCGGAGGGCTGAGGATGGCTGAGGGAAGTTCGCCAACGCCCAGCTGCCAGCTGCTGCGAAACCATTCGAAGCTGCTTGTTCAGGGTAACTGCTCTCTGCGTGGCTGCACGGGAAGGGTGTGCCCGCCACAGCTTGTGGTATTTTTGCAAGCTGCATCAGCTCCGAAGCGCTGAAATAGTCTGAGTCTACATCTCACCTCGAGATACTGTGCCAGACACTGGCAGCTGTTGCCTTCTCTGGTCCTAGCCGGGTCGAACACAGCGGGGAAGGCCTGCAAATAGGCGCAGCGATGTGTTGGCTGACTGCAGACCCTGTACCTTTGAGGACCGCGATGGCTTCACGGCAGTGCACTGGGCTGCCATGGAGGACGAAGCTCTTACGATGCCGGGCACCAGGTTAATCAAGTCTAGATGCCCGCGAGAGAGAGACTCTAGATCTGAGGAAGTGTTTGCTCGACCTTGGCTTCGATGCAAACGCAAAGGACTTCAAGGTGTGCATCTGCTGAGTGCTCTTACTATCTCTTACTCTTTCTCTGCTTGATCATCCCACGCTCTAGCTCGGTCTTTTGGTTCCGATCCCACTCGGTCGCAGTCACAGCTCTCTGAGGGCTGGACACCTTTGATGCATGCCTGTGCACGTGGAGCAGACGTGAAGCTGGCATGCTTGTGGAACGCTATCATGGAACTGCAGCAGGAAGAGTGACTTGCACGCTTGACGAAGGAAGTTGTTCGCGTGCTGGTGGACTTCTCGGCCGAGATTGATGCCCGCAATTGGGACCGGTGGCTAAGCAGTGCTCGCTATGCTCACTTCTTTGGATTCAGGCAGAGATTTCATTGTTCGATTTCGCAGGATGGCGACACTGCTTTGCAAATCACCCAAAGACGTCGAGATCCCCCCGATGTGGTCGCAGTGACGAAGGCCTGAAGTTACTTGCAGCATCTTGCAGCATCTTGCAGCATTGTGCCTCGCTGGCCTCGACGGCAGAGTGGTGAGAGGATATCTTGCTCGATGGCATCATGGGAAGCGATGAGCCAGCCTGCACCCCGATCTCCAAGCCGTTCCGGGCCCCGATTCAGAACTTGGCCATTGCAGCGATGAGGCCCAAGGAGGCTCTGTCCAGGCTAATGGCCACATGATGGTTTCTGTCCTCGAGGCAGGAGGCCTAGATGAGTGCATGTGTCCACAAGCCCCGCTGTATCTGCACTAGGCTACTGACCTCTACCTTGAGGGCAAGACCGGATTCGTGCCAGCCTAAATGAAGTTGACGTCGGACAGGTCGGACACAGCACTTTGCCGGATGTACTGCGCTCCCTCGAGGTGAATGCCTACGTGAACCTTCAGCTACGTACACAAACGGGTGCCAGGCCTCAGGCGTGGCGCTTCGCGAAGAGCTTATTTGCCCAACGGCCCATGCGGCACATGCGCAGGCCGCGTTTACATCGTGCGTCTTGCAGAACTCATCGCCGGAGTGGCGGCATGGCATAAGAAGATATAGGATTTTTGTCGTCACAACTTCTTCGAGGGTGGACAGCATTGGGCCTGCTTCTGTTTACTTTCATCAAGTCACCGGCACATCGTTTGATTGTTCCATGAACATCGCTTCAAACAGCATCAAAAAGCAGGGCCGGTGGAAGAAATTTCCCGTTGTTGTTGAGATGTTGAGGCATGAGGTTTTTCGCTTCGACACTGTCCGGGTCGATCCCAGCGCAGTGCTTGTGGCCTGGGTGGCTCGAGTCTTAGCATGTTGTCTGAGCTTTCCTCAGTTGACTGCCTCAGACCACCGTTAGGTCGCAGCCCCAGGGGAGAACACCAAAGAGGTCATGGATGGAGCTGCGCTCGGCTTGGACGAGGACCCCTCTGAGAGCGAGTTTGCCTTGTAGGTATGTCCACTTGGCAAGCCAGGTGGAGCTGCAAAATCTGTCGCATATGGAAGCCGTGACAGGGAAGTCTCGGCCTTGGCGTTAAGCTGCAAGACGGAAGCAAGAACAAAACAACCGTTGATGGGAAGGACGCTGCACCAGGAACAGCCGCAGTTCACTTCGGCGCTTCAGGAGGGCAGGGGATGCAGGAAATGAAGATTAGTAAGAGCAAGAGGCGTGTTGAAGACATGCACAGGAGTCCTTCCAGCGCCTCATGAAGAGAGCTGACAGGGAGGAGGATGCAGAGGCTACAGCTGACACGAATCGACTCAGATTTCAATCGAGCCGTGCTCATCAGAGGTCTTGCGACTCCGCAAACTTGCGATGGCTCAGCTCACTGGAACCGAGCAGAGAGCTGAGGGAACCCCAAATTTAGGCTCCATTGCTTCATCGCATTCATCTGAAAGGCCAACCGAGGACCTGAAGTTCTCGCAAACGCAGGTCAAGGCCGGCGTCGCCGTTGATTCGATTTTGTTGCGGTGAACTTCTGCGTGGCGTTCACAGGGGGAGGATGGCCTCGCTCTGACTGAGAGACGCTGGAACGAGGTTTCCAACTTGCGCGAGGCCCCTCGACAGAGCTTCAAGCCCTGAACGTCATGAAACAATGGCTCGACAGTTATGGCCCATGAGTCAGCAGAACTGAATCAGGTCTTGGTACGGAGTGGATGTGACGTGCGCTGGGCTTACTGACCAGAGACAGTTTAAGTTTGAAGGCCCCTTAACTGCGCAGCAATCGTGAGAGGCCTGAGCCCCTGGTGCCACGGACGCACCTGCCGTAAATCCGGCTGTTTGAGCAGGCCAATGTTTTTCCGGTGTATGCGGTGTCCCCGTGGACAGGCTTGGTTGTGTCGTTGTTCGCTACCGCCACCTGAGAGCTGCAGTGTGGGGCAGCGAGCCCGTCACGGAACACCGGCAGCATGCAAAGAATTCGAGATTTTTTACCCACGAAGCACACTTTTAGCGTGCAACCGTCTCCTGTGCTCCCAAAAGGTGGTGCGAACACTTCGCTTGAGCTGCCGCAAAAAGCTCAGCCCTACAAACTATCTACATTGCAATGCAGTCTCCCATTTTAAGTTGAAGCAAGGTGGCAGCCTGCGTGTTCAGATCGACTTCCGTCCCAAGTTTTTCGAGTGCAAAGAGGAGGCAGGATGCACGCACGCTGACGGTTGGCAGCTGTTGCTTTGATCGTCCGCCAGGAACGCGCGAAGTTACTGTCACCAGAAGAAGAGGACGAGGCCCCTTTTGTATCCTGTATCTGTGTGGACTGGCAGGTGCATGCATGCATGGCTGCATCCCTGTCGAGTCATGCATGGTCTGCACCATCGCACTAAGCAAGAATAGTACAACAGTGGAGCATCTTAGCGAGCTATAGCGAGCTAATTACCGCCAATCCTTGCAGTTGTACCGCGTGACTCCTGGAACCGAAGAGGCCTGGGACAAGCTGGGCCAGAACTGTCAGCCCGCATTCGACCGACACCCTTCCCCGCAGGATGAAAGAAGGGAGGCAGAGCTCTGGCAGGCGTGGTGTTGTCCCCCCCCAGAGCGACGCTCGCCGGAGCTGGGCCTCAGGAGACCCAGCAGAAGAAGAAGCAGGATGCTGAGCGCCTTAGCATTGACATCCTCGGCAAAATGAAGGCCTTGTAAGTATAAAGTGCTCTTGCCAAAGCTTGGACAGCGAGATGGCACATAGTTTCATTTGGAGGCCAAGAAAGCAGTGATGAGTACAGAGGAAGCTCTGGAGCGTGCGAAGAGGAGCCCTTCAGAGCTTTGCTGGTTGCCTGATGTTGCCTGATCATGTACGATACCGAAGTCTCGTCTTCACAGCTCCAAGGATCAAGCACTTGAGGGATCCAGAGGCTGGCACCAGCGATGCACCTTCGCGCGGTCTGAAAAATGCAAATCACATTTGTGAGGTCTTGTTGAGAAGATTCCAGCAAGTGTCACACTGGGCAAGCCAGGCCTAATTCGTGGTCGAGTAACCCATGTCAGTGTCCACGTGCACGCGACATGTGCTTTGTGTTACACCGCCTAGGTGTTGAAGATCCGCGAGGAGTTCCGCCCACACCTCGATCCCTGGAGAACCAACTGTGTGCAGCTGCTTCTGGCCCGATCAGGTAATGCAGAAGTTGAGAGGGCTCGACTTGCTGCAAAGCAAGCAGAGCTTCTAGCAAGTGAAGCCAAGAAGGGGGAAACCGACCAAAAGCAGAAAGCCAGAGTATTTCTGGCGAATTGTTCATGATTGGGTACTGTAGGGGAATCTGATGATCAGGCGAATTTACCCTACAAAGGCGCCGGGCAGACGGCATCGCACTTTGCCAGGCTGCCGGATGGTCCGGGAAGCTCAAGTCTTACGTGCAAACCAGGTACAAGGCCGGTCTGACTGCCATAGGCAAAAGTGTAAGCAGAGGCATAAGCATAGTTGAGTTAGGGAGAGAGATGGGAACAGTAGTAAATAGAAGTTCTGTTGTTTTGAGTTCTTAAGCAGTGTCATGTTGCAGGCCTGGAGCGAGGAGCGTGCGTTCAAGCAGGCGGCCCTGGACAAGCCCATCGGCTCTGCACCCCGGCGCGATCTTGGTCGGTAGCGGTGCTTTCTTGTCCTGTGATCTGGGCTCAGGTCGATATGCAAGAGCTTATGAAGGCGAAGGCAGTCCCGGGAGTGCCTCGGCAGAGCTTGGCTTGTGCCGCTTGGGCCTTGGGCCGGGCGCCTCAGATCACTCAGGTGCCTCTGCCCAAGAAGGTTCCAGCACCAGCTATTCCCCGGCTCAAGGCTCCCGCATACTGCCAGGCCGAATTACCGGTAAAGCAATGCTGACGCAGGCAGAGCGCTGGGTGGAAGAGTTCTTGGAAGGCTCTCGCATGATCTGAGTCATATTTTAGAGTTTATGGTTGATGCAACACCGAGCTGTACCGAATTCGTTGCACGGGGGTGGTGGTTCGTTTCACTGCGTGCTTCCAGTGCCTGCAGCAGCTGCACGTGATTTGCCCACGCCCAGAAGGCCGGAGCACCTGCAGTTCCGTGCCAAAATGTGTTCCAACCCACGCTTTGTTGCATCGGCGCGGTGGAGGCTTAGTATCACACTGCACAGAATCTCAGTTCCCAGACAGCAGAAGAGAGGAGCGACCTCTAGCTGGGAACGTCCTCGAATTTTAAACTTTCCCATGCCGATGAGCATGTTGGCCTAACTGTTTGTTGTGTGGGCCACTTTAAGCACACAGCTCGGTGATGCTCTTCGTGCGCGCGCAGGAAATCACGTGGTGCAATGTTTTTTGCAGGCAGATCCAAACAACACGTTGGACAATTGCCCCTCAAGCTGCATTGCCCGTTGTTGACTCTTCCGTCAGCCAAGACTTCCACCGGAACCAGACAGCATCTCGACGAAAGTCTGCACAGGCATCTCCACTGTCAAGAGTCGAGTCAAAGCCACTTTCAGCATCGAAGTCCGATAAGGGCGTGAGACGCATCGCCGCGCTCATGCTGTGTCCTTGCCCAGCACCTGCGGCACAATGTATAGAAGGTGCGCATACGCATATGTGTAGATGACCGCCGCTGAGCCCAACATTGACGAGGCTTTGCACTGCTTGATTCACTCTAGATGCTTGCTCCTTACCGCTTAGCTTTTGCCAGGAAAGCCTTCTCAAGGATGCCGTGGGCTTTGCCACGGAGCACCGCTTCTATCTCCGCAAGGACGGCAAAGTGTGATCACCGCCGTTGAGTACATCCACTCAGAGCTTTTCAACTGGCTTCTGTGGTTTGGAGCTGTGCATGAAGAGGCAGTGCAACACGGCGACTTCTACAGTGCTGTCCGGCACTCCCTGTGCATGGCCAACGAGCAGAAAGCTTGGCTTCTAGAATCATTGCTTGGGCTGCTTCCTGTCAGCACTGCTTTTAGGTTACGGTCATGTCGGTTATCTCCGACGAGCTATTACAAGCTGCACCTTGCTCAGTGATCTAGTTATAGTCTCAGTTGTGCATTGCAGGCCAGCAGCAGAAAGCTCAACTGACTCTCCGCCTGTGAAGGGTTTCGAGGTACTCGATGGTGTTCTTGGAGCTGCAGCACCTGGGGGCCTATCTCCGAGAGACCGCGAGGCCCCTGCCCCTTCACAAGCATCTATAAGGTCTGACAGACCATTCGGTCAGGCACGGCTTCTCCCTTGAGGAGGACGGGCGGAGAGCGCTGCTAACAACTACTTCCAACACTACACAGATTTGTCTAACAGGTTTTCGAGATTGTCCAGTACGAAGGGAACTGCCTTCCGCGGCTCTACATGCTCGTGACGGTTGGTGTCGTGTGGGGGTCTGAAGTTTGTCGTATGTTGTCGTAAGTTTTGCTGCTCACACCCCATCTTTGGCGGCACTGCAGACGAATGCTGGCTCCTGACTCTGACGAGTCACCGGACGAAATCCTTCGCGATATGGAGTCCATGGTCGGAGCCGTGAGCTGGCTGAACATTTTTGCTTCAGGTATATATATATATGTGTGTGTGTGTACAGATATCGCGTATATATATATACACATATATGTATATATACATATATATATATCTGTGTGTGCGTCACACCTGCATGCATACATACATACATACACACACACATACACATACACATACACATACACATACACATACACATACACATAGACATAGACATAGACATAGACATACACATACACATACACACATACATACAAACGTTCATACATACATGCATATGCACATACAGAAACACATACGTACATACATGCATGCATACATACATACATACATACATACATATACACAATCACATGCACATATATTTGTATATGTTACATACCTCTACATATAGTCTATGTATGTATGTGCATATATACGTATGTATACACATATAATCCCAGGTTGAGGGAGCTGAGCGATGGAAGGTACAGCATCCGGTTCGAGGTCTCTTTCTACGATATTTCCTTCTGCAGGTGGTCAAGGACTGGCACAAAAGCTTGAGTCGCGGCCCAGCGAAAATCAGATAGATCGAACCCTCCAGGCGGTCTGGAGTTGTCATGCCACGGCCGTTGGCCCTGTAGAGCAGCTTGCCATGCCATCTTGACATGCAGGACAAGCTTCACAAGCTTCAAGAAGGAGCTGTTGGTGCTCTGTGCGGACCCTACTGGCAATTGGCTGCGCGTTGTGTCACTGCCTGATTCTGTGCGCAGGAACTTCCTGTTGACAACCTTCCGAGAAGCCGTGAGCCTTTGGCACCGGCTCCGCCTGACCCAGGCCCCTGGCTGCGCAGAACTCCCCGCATGGCCCCCCATCGTAGCCTTCGACAGCATGGTCATCTGCGAGAAGTTTGTAAACTCTGGTGAGATCAAGAGAGCCCGAAGCATCAATGTTTGTCTTTGGGCAGCACTTTGTCAAGCGCACACTCTCTCCTTCCTATGTTGAGCCTCTTGCACACCCCCTCGGCTATCTACCATTAGCAGCTTTGCACCGGTTCTTATGCACAAGCAGAAAGCCGACATACCGTGGAGAGGCACTGAAGCAGCTATCGCTTTAAACGATTAGACCCGTCGATTTCGACCGTCGCGGCGACTTCAGCACGGAACCTGTTCGGGAAGCTATTGGCAAGACGTCTACTGGCAAGGCGACATTCGTGTTGCAGCTTCAATCCTGATGCAAGCAGCTTGTAAAACCTCGCAACATCTCTGGTGAACCAGCTTCAGTCACCATGCTAGCCACAAAGGAGCTGATTCCACCAATTATTGGTGGATGTCATTTGGATGTCCCTGTCGAACTTAGCGGCCACACTGTTGAAGCAGTTCTTCGCATCGAGGACGAGCTGTGAACATCCACTTCGCTTTTACAAAACCTTGTGCCGAAGATGACAAATTGATTTGGCTTGTGCATGGTCAAACATCTCCCGAATCTACGGGCACTCTTGGAATCTGTCATCAAAACGGACAGCCCTCTTGATTTGCCTCACCGGCTTCAGGTTTCGTTTGCAACTGAGTTCCGACAGGGTTTCATTGTGGTGTCTTACAGTATGTTGAAGACCAAGGGTTGGTCTCCCCGAAAAAAGGGGCCTTCTGGTACATGCGAGGGTCCCCTGAGCTCAGTATTCATCATGAAGATGAGAGGGGATATGGCAAACTGCATGGGAAAGAGCTCCGTTGGGGCACATTTCAACAAACTCAGGCGAGCATGCCTTTATTTCGACTCCAGCAGGTGAACGAACTGAGCCAAATCTGGCATCGACGATCGCGACTCGGTCCTTCCTTGACGACGGTCGGTGTGGAAGCGTGCTCGTCGAATCGGCATACCGAAAGATTTTCAAGCCTTGTTGGCTATCTGGCAGCAGCACACTCGACATATACAGAGCCTTCTGCGAGTCCAACGTGTTGTGGGGTTGAATTGCATGTGTTCTTCTCCCGACGATTTTCGTCGCTGTTCCGATTGGGGTGTAGCCGATGCGGCACCAACTTCTTCTTCTTTGCAAACTCCTCAGACACCCACGAGACCACTTCATGCACCGGACTGTCCTCATCATGGCACACTGTAGCCTGCAACCAGCGCATTTATCTGAAGAGCTGGAAGACCGAGACTCGAACAGATCAGTCAAGCTACGAACTTGGATGGTGACATGGATGTGCAGTGAAGTAGCTAGAAAGCTCGCCTTGTGCATCACCCAGTTGTCTGGCATCAATCGATGTACCGGACCTTTGCTCCACGGGGAACATATGCCCGCTGACCGACCGACCGATTGAAACCTTCACGTTGCAACCTTGTTTGCAGAGCTGCTCCTTGAAAATGGCATTCCGATGCATAGGTCCAAGTTGAGCCATCAGCGATGCAGGCCTTGCATGGTCGCCAGACTGGAGCCAGATGTGGATTAATCCTTGGCGCTCAGGCATGGCAATTGGATGACCATCGCTACTCCCTGCGGCTGCTGCTAGGCCAGATCAGATGGTCACAGAGTTTGGTTTTGGCCGATGTCAGCCAGGTGCTCACCTGATGCAAGTTGCCCGAGTGGATGGACTTACCCAGGACCTTTACACAGAGGCCGGACGGCTTTAGCCGTACACATTGCGCCGTACTATGCAGGCTTCGAGGTCAAAGTGTGTCCCACACGCCAGGTGGTCTTACCGGAGCTCCTACGCTTGATCCCTGCATGCGAGGATGCAGCTGGCCAGGTGCAAGCTCGAGTTATAGAAGATGCAAATGTTGATTGTTTCCCGTGAGTTTCGCCTTCGACGGCATTTGGCTCAAGATGCACGGTCTTGCGAATTCGTTCTCTGCATAATTTTCCCTCGGAGCGCGTCTCAACCGAGAAATGCCTATAATAAAGGAAGATAGGCTCCAGCAGTGCCCCTTGATTTGCTCACTTCCAGACGCATCTCGTTGTGCTTGTACGTACACAGCATCTGGGTAGGACATGCTGCATCCGCTCCCGACAGGTACGATGCCAATGCCTTCCGATTTGATAAGATGAAGGAAGAAGTGGCCGATGCTGTGAAAGAAGACTGGAAGAGGGCTAGCCTGTCCTGTCTTGTCTGCAGGGTCCGGAGAGGATGCATAGTTGTGACAGTGACGACATTTGGCTGCTTGGAGTCCGGTTCTGTGTCCGGTTAGTTGAAGATTTCAGTTACAAGACAGGACAGGCGGTTGTTGTGTCCATGCGGTTTGGCGACACTGACAGATGACAGGACACGGTCGATGACGCCAAGAAGCGTGCGATCACTACAACCTCAAGCTATGACGAGCCTTCCGCCCAGGGTTAGTAACGAAGCCGGTTGAGGCTCTCATGGTCTGGACTATTTCAAATGCAATGGCAAAGTTCAGGTTCAGACAGTGAAGCTTTGCTGATGAGATGTGCAGGCTTAGAGTATGCTATCTGCCAGCAGAGAGAGTCTTCAGGTTTCGCTCCCGTGTGGCCGGATGTCATCTGAAGCCTATTCACAAGAACGAGTTCAATGCTCCAGCGAAGTTTGCTTTCAACAGGCATAGGGCTGCGGCACCGATGCTGTCAACATCGGCCTGCAATTTTCAAACTTTCAGGCAGGTGGACCGGAGCAAGGTAATCCCGGGCACCAGCGCGTTGCTCGAGACCTAAACCAGAGAATCACTGACACTTGAATCGCCGAATCCGTCGTTGCCGTGAGCGTCATGCTCAGGTCGACAACTGTTTTGGACAAAGCTGCAAGAAGCGGCGGCCAAACAGGCAGCTTATGAGCCTCATTGCATTCTGCAGCAACTCTTATGGAGAGGAGGGTCTCAATCTCCCTGCCCTTCCTTCTTCGCAGAACTTCGAAGTATCCGCGAGCTTGACAAAGAGCTGCGGCGTCGACGCACTGCAGAGGCATTCTTGAAGATACCTTGCGTCCATTGTTGCTCTCAGATCACAACGGACGCAACCCTGAAGTAGTGCGGTTTGCGAGGACAAGGCCGAGCTGGTCATTCACATGAGCGCCGAAGCCGTGCAGCGTGTGTTTGGCCGCGAGATGGATGCCGAGGCAGGTCGAAGAGACTAAGGGCCTCTGAAAGGGCTCTCGCTGAGACTTCGGGCAGCCTGCCCGAGGTCTTTCAGCAGATGCTGGAGGCTTTGGAACAGGCGCCTGTCGACTGAGAGACGGACACTGGTCGGACACCAAGCCATTGAGAATCCTGTCCGCCCAATGGAGGCAGACAGGACCGCAGTCCCACCAGGGACTGCTCGGCGACTCCTGGGGGATTTGGCGATGCTGCAATCCGAGATGTTTGTACGTGGCTGTCGTTACTCCTACCACTGGATCATTCGAAATTAGGTTGTGCCCTTCCTCGACTTCCCAAGCTGCTGCTTTCTTCTCGCCAGAGGAGACGTGTGCAACGTGGAGGAATGGAAAGGCTAAGGAGTGGGCATGATGCAGGAGCGTGGATTGATTGTGCGACTGCTCGCGAGGGATGAGGTGGGGACAATGTGCCGCAGCTTGGCAGATTGCATGATCTGATTGAAAGGCTCAACCAGATGATCCAGAGATTGTGAGACTTTGCGCCATGGCCGAAGCCTGTCTCACCTCGCAGGCTCAAGATCACTCTTCGAAGTCGAACAAGTCTGCACTTGGTCGCCTGTGCCTCTGCCACATGATTAAGGTGCAAGCTGGGGCATCACGCCAACCAGTCTGTCTGCAGGAAGCCCAGAATACGCGCTTGTGATCGAATGCTGCATCATAAAGTTCTCCGTCGAAGGCTGCTGTCAAAGCCCCTGCCAGCGAAACAAGCTCCCTGGCAGCACGCAAGGCTTTGCTTCAGAAGCGGTCTTGGTTCCGAAGTGCCATGAAGTGCTGCATCCCGGATGTCTTGGTTCAGATTCAGGTTAGGCCTTAACAAAAGCCTAGCCAGTTAGTTCTGGAGGCGCTGCCCGGCAGTCCTAGAGGCGCTCGAGTCCCGTTCCATCAAAAACTCGCTGAGGCCGGCCTGGCGTCGCACCTGACAGCCAACAAGACTCGAATTACGAAAGCATGGATTGAAAAAGGAGTGTCGAGATGCAGCAAGGTGACGGGCTCATGGTCCTTGGCCCTGGATGCTTGGCAGGCGTATCTTCTGCAGCTCATCGTTGAGGCCCCCTTGAAGCACATGGAATACTGCGTACAATTAGTTTCTTGTGGCGGTTCAGAATGCCTCAGACAGGTATTCCCCGACAGCTACCACCTCCACACTTTGGAGAAGGTCCTGGCAACTTGTGCGCAGGCCTTCTGATGCTTTGAGATGGAGCCGCTGATGTAGCCGGATTGGCAGGTCCATTGGTCAATCGATCTGGTACAGCTGACGTCTTGGACCTGGCTGTTCAGACTCAAGGACTCTCTCTCAAAGCCCTTGCGACTTCTCCAGGCAACATCTGCTCAGACGCTTGACGGTACACCTGCTGGAAGGAGGCCGGAGCAATTGTTTGTGCGTGACTGGAGAGCATATGAGAGCCCCAGGCGATTCTTCCAGCTCTGCGACCGTGTATTCCTGGCCGGATTGTAGCCTCCGATTCATGCAACTATCCGGAAAATTGCAAGAGCCACTGGCCGTCGTCCATTTTTGTCAGCTGCGCCAGGTTCGAACTGTTTCACGTGCACTTCAAGTTGTTGCACGGACGGCCGCGAACGACCGCCTGGCACCTTCGCGATATGCAAGCAAGGCCACCTTTTGTCTTCTTGCAGCAAGGCCACCCCACTGATTTCCCTGCTCACGCTGCAGCTGGTTTGCCGCCAAGCTAGCCAAGGGCAAAGCCAAGCAAAGCTGCAGTTTGCTGGTTTACTCAGCCGAAGGAACTCTGCATGTTCGTCCTGGCTTTGCATCCAGGCACAGCGCTTGTGGTCACAGAGTCATAGGTGTTGCAGCATTTTCCCCCGGACAGAGGCCAAGAGCCCGACTCTTGCCCAGGCAACGCGTGCTTGGACATCTTGGAGGGGACGGTGGACCTCCTCCAGGCCGGCGACGGCCCGTCACTCAACACAAAAGGATGCAGTCCCGCCATGAACCATGGCTCTCCGCCTGAGGAGAGAAGGCGGAAACTTCGTCACCGGAGGTCTTGGATACGCAGCTTGCGCAGGCAGATTCTGCGCCTGCGCTCGTTGCAACTATGCGGTCGGTCCATGTAGCGGCAGCAACCTGCGAGGCAGTGGTGGACCTCATGGCGGCACCTCTCACAAAGGCACCGGAGCTCAGAACAACTCAGCAGGGGTTCGCTGCCATTGAACACGAACACCCGGGATTTGCAAGTGTTGTGTCACGAGACGTCTACCAAAATGGCTTTGGCCTGAGTGGAGCTTGCGTCCATGCGTGTCCATGTGTTTCCCTGTCACCCAGGGGACAGGCTCTCTTTGTCTCTGCAGCCCCCCTCTCGATGTCAGCTTCCAGTGTTGGGGTGATAGGCTAAGGGGTCGTGTATTGGCTCTGCTCCGCCGCCCATCCTGTGGCCTTGGCTTTTGGCCGGGGCACAGCCGTTTAATCGTTTCGGGCTTTCCGTCGGACGCCTCGGATGGTGGTAGACTTTGGAAAAGGCAGGCACACTCAGGCCCTTCCCAAATGGCCCCCCAAGAGTTGCGCTACGTGGTGCCGCAGAGGTTGTCGGATGACTGTTCATACAAGTATCTCTTCATGCTGATTCCTGACCGAGCATCTTGTTTCGTTTCAGGGACCAGGAGTTCTAGTCCAGGAACATGGTGGCTTTACGAATGCTTTGAAGTGTATCAAGGAGAGGCTCTGCTCGGCAGTTCTGCAGATGCCGTACCACGCAACTTTACTGGCTGCCGACTCAGCATATCTGAGTATGTCACGAAGAACGGCTGTAATGTGAATGTGCAACTCGAGGCGATGCTGTCACGGCCAATGCAAAGTCGAGCGGCTATGGCAATGGCGCATCGGCAAGAATTGCAATATGTCACTCAGTTCCCGCCAATCCCCGCAACATCGTCTGTTCTCAGGTGACGGCGCTGCTCGCCGGAGACGTCGGAAACACAGAGCAAGCTTCAGCTGAGCAGAGTAGGCATAAAGTAGCGTTGTGGACATGAAGAACTAGCACCTTCGTGTACGAGTTGGTTGAGGTGTTTGCAGCATGAGTCGGGTTGGGTGGGTGGTGTTTCCCGGACGGCGACGTGGGAGGGCCCTTCAGCGCCGCGTGTCGGACCTAAGAAGCCGCAGCAAGCCCTGCCGCGTGATACCAGGTCAGCCTCGGTGACTGCGGGACGTTGCGCCAATTATTCACGCAAGCTTCCTATCATTCATTCGCGTGTGCTGCTATAAAATGCTCTAGAAAGCTTTGTGTCATGACAAGGTTGATGAGCACTTTGCTTCAAGACGAAACCGGACAAGATGACGAAGACGCTCGTCCGAGGCAGGTACCTACGAAACACAATTTTGAGAATTCCCGGTCCACCGTGAGGCACTTGGAGCATGATCCCATCGCATTCCGACGTGAACAAGAGACCGTGGCCCAACTGATCCACCAGGTCAGTGCATCAGTTCAGGGCGATCGGACACCGGTCGGACCAGCTTTGATCTCTTCATGTCGACTGCCGTGTGTAGGTGCGGCATGAGGATCCCACGAAGGTGATCGAAATGCTTCTCGTGCTTTGGGAATACTTCCGGGAGGTTGGGGCGTTCAGGTCGATTTGGGGAGTCAAAACTTGCCTCAACAAGCCAGGGTGGACCACACCGGATCATCTTCTCTGTGCCTGCCATGGTATCTGCAAGTCTGGAGCTTGTCCACTCCCTACTTGTCCTGGGCCGCTGGATTCAGTTGATGTCGCAGCGATGCGTCTGATGGTGTTTGTTGGTGTCGTCTGTGCCCATGCTGCCGGCGTCTCTAAGGCTGATCGTTTGATGCACTCAGGCTGATACCCGTCACATGCCAGACACCACTGGTAGCACTCTCGACTTAGTTTGGGAGGTCAGAACCACGAACAAGAGCTGCGTCCCAAGATCGTTTGTTGTGGTCAGACAACGAGAGAGCATGTTTGTAAATGTCTTGATGAACCTTGCATGGGCTGAGATGCAGCGAGCTTGTCCGCATCTTCGACTTGACGCAGTGGCCTCAGGGCTACCAGGCTGGCCGGAGGCAGTTTGCAGTCAGACGTGTTTCTGCGGAGCTGTAAGGCACACCTTGTGCCAAAGCCTTGGCACCCTGATCCCGAAGGACAGATGCCATCAAACAGCAGAGTGCGTGCCAACTCTGCCTTGTCTGTAAAGTTAGCACTTCACATCTTAGGTCTGCGACGCTTTGTATGCACAGCCGTGTGCATGACCTCCTCTTGTATCTCTGCGGTTTGTGTGGGTGTGTTATAGCTATACATATACTACTGTAGTATATTGTACATACATACCTCTATGTATATATATATATATACACATGTACATATATGTATGCTCACCCCGCTCGGCGACAGACCATCGCAGGGAAAACATAAACGTGGCTAAGTTCAACGAAGCTTAAGGGTTTTGTAATTAGGTTGAAAACTTCAATTTTCATCTCGAACCTGTCCTTGTGTCACTGGTTTATTCCACCTTGGCTTGTTTTAGACCTGCAGCTTTGCACAACTACGAAAATCACACCTAAACTCAAAAGAGCATTTAACTATCCACTAAGCAAGTCTTTGTGCGAGATGGTTGCCAACTAATGTTCGATGAATCTCCCAATGTCCTTTACAAACCTAGGTATTAATCTCTGCGAGAGGACGTTGCTATGGGAAGACCAGTTCACTGATTGTTTTCGCCTGGTTATTCGGCACGGACCTTTCCTGTTTGTCTCCGATTAAAGACTTCACCATGGGAAAACTCGAACTATCGAAAACTTCTACGTCATGCCTGTACACTTAACGCAGTATTCCGAAAAAGCCAGAGGCCCCAAGATGCTGGCTCGAGTTGCACACTTCGTAAGATAAACATGTATGATGTCGACTTATGCGCGCTTTGCGTTTGCATGCGGGCTCTCTAGTTTGTTGTGTTTTCATGCTGGTCTGGCTTCAAGAGGTGCTTACAGTGAAGAGCTCTGGTCAGTACAATAACAGCAGTTCACAACATTTCACAACACAATTGTACCATACATGATTGTTCATTGTCACTTGCTAGGACAAACGTGTTTACGACGATTTTACAAAAAAACACAACTCCTAGTTCGACCAACGAAGGAATGGGCATGGCTTACTGTAACTGCTGCACAGACTCAAGATGAACCAAATCCAGACCAGGCATGAACACTGTTTCGGTATAGGGACCAGATATCAAGAACCAACTTAGCGGAATACCAAGTTTAACAGGCAGCCACATGTTGACTGATTTTTGATTTTCAGCAATAACCATCCGCAATATGTTGCCGGATTAGCCCATCGTTCCGTTAAAGCACAGGTGTGAATATTCAACGGCTAAGACTTGATGCTTACATGTGTATCAGAATGTGAATAAACATAGGACTCAACAATTGGTACATGTACCCGACAATGTCTGGTTGGACTAAAACAATATGTGTACCCAATGGTTGAGCAATACGCCGATTACCCAGGGCTAATCGCATACGATCATGCATGCATAGAAGAGTATGTTGAACAGAAATGTAGATATGATTGAGAATGGAAGTGGGGATTGGATGGCCTTGTAGGTGTATCACGATTCTTATTCCAATAAGCATACCGATACCCACAGTTATATTAGTAGTGGGTCACGAATTGCTACGAATAGCTGATATTGCCGACATCTACTGTTAATTTGAACAAACACCTACAAACTAGCGTAGTGCCAAAAACAAGCAAAAAATCCAGAGATAATGCCGGGACTGTTTTGGTTTGTTGGATTTGTGTTGTTTTTCGTGCTGTTTTGGCTTTTGGGTTTGGCTTCACATGGCTTTCTTATACAGTGCCAACTGTCCGTAGTACTCGAGCGGCAGTTCTAGTTGTTTAGCTGGCTGCCTCACAGTTCCTCCATGTGGGATTCTCAGTGAAATTCTCGTGTTCTGCCATTCAGTATAATGTCGGGTTGCATTGTGCCGAAACCAGAATGTCAAAAGCACACAAAAAAATATCACAACAACAGCGCAAATAACAACATCAATCGCACGCAGCACATTTCCGGAATTTTATCTGGATCTTTGTTTTTTGGGTGTTTGATCTGCAAACTACTGTAGTTGGAAGGGACACAAGGACACAGTATGCGCTTCACATTTGCGGTTCCAGACACAAGATTCGACTCATGACGATCCAAAGCACGTCTGCCGAAATTTCAGACGCAATACAGCACTTCGGGACTCTGGGACTGTAAGCAGCGCGAGTGTTTGCCGTAGCGGGCACAGGATGTCCGTAACGGGACCCGTAACAGGAACGGGGACCGATCCCGTAACAGCAACCACCAGTTCCTGTAACACCCCCCAGGCAGCCCCTCGTAAAAGGAACCAGTGTGGGGCTCCAAGAATGACTTGTTTCACATCCACCTGCTCTTGTGGGCTCGCCAAGTCAGGGACCGCTTTCCGGTCCCCCACTTATACGGCCTCAACACGTCATGCCATGTAGCACTAGAAACTGACCTCATATGTCCACAGCAACCTTTGTCCTGATTTCCGCTGGCTACAGCATCAGTGTTGCCATTAGAACGCTCCAGAATAACATCGCATGTGTCTGCTGCGAGTGAAACTGCAAATTTCGTGACTTGTGTGCACGATCGTAGGATAAAGGCTCTTGTGTGTCGTCTCGTTTCTTTCTTCGTCCTTCTTCGGGTGCTAAGAGCTGACCCCCAAAGCCGTTCTCGAGCGTTTAAAGCCGTTCTCGAGCGAGTAAAGCCGTTCTGGACTGGCAAATGCCTGAACCCTTGAAACTGACCCGGCAACCCTAGACCCCTAAAACACAAAACCCCTGAACCCCTAAACCTCCTAAATACATCTACAGCCGCAGAGTCCTAAAACCCGACAGCCTAAACCTTTAACCCAGAAAACAAGCCACGCTGGCGCTTGTCAGTCCACGATGGCGTGCAAAGGCCTAGCCCCGCCACCAATAGTAGTAGTACTCGTAGCACAGCAGCTTCGGGTTGCATTAGTACGAACCTTCTTGTAAGATAAAACATCCAACCCTTCGACAAAAGCAATATGAAGACACAACTTGTGGCTTGCGAGACAAGGATTGTATTGCCGCTGGCATCCTATATCCCAAGCAGTGAATCTGTTTCCACCCCAAACTCTGTATGCCTCGAACGAAACATAATTAGGCGTCAGCGTAAGGCTTTCATGGTGTCAAAGTAGGGGACCGAAAACCGGTCCCCCGCAGAACAGTTCCAGCATATTTTCTGTTGTCTGGCTATTTGATGGGACTATTCCCGTTGCGCTCCCGTTGCGGTTCGTGTTTCTACTAGCCCTCGTTCCCGTTACGACCCCCAGAAATGGCTTCCGTTGCTCCCCAAACGGGTTCCTGCTACTCCCCGCACCCTCAGGAGCACTGTGCTGTCCCTATATGTTGCTATTGCCGAACCCAATTAAGAAGAATGCTTAGGACTTTGGGACTTCTGCAAGTGTTGTGCTGTACAATTGTTTATCACACATTCCTTCCCAGCCATACACATAATGTCGATTCTGCTCGTTCATATTTGCTTCTACTTTGCACNNATATGTTCAATGTCAACAGTTTCAAACCATGTGATGAGCACAGACGCTATTCCACAAAGAAGCCGGTTTCACCGGTGTTTACAGCACTTCATGCACACGGAGTAGATGTGTCTCGTTAACCCTCGTTATGTGTCAGAGAGTGGGGCAAGTAGGGTATGGATTTTTTTTTTTTTTTTGGGGG